TGCTTTCTGTTACATGTATTGGGTAATCTTCCCCTGCCCATGATTCTTCCAGCTTGAAGCTAGCCTTAGTCTGTGGGAAATGTACTTGGAGAAAGGGGCTTTCATTGCCCTCTCCATAGGCTGTCTTACTTGGTAACAGAGTAAATACACTCTTTGCATCCATTGGACAGTTTAGGGGCTGTCAAACCGTCAGAATTCTTCTGAAGTAAGTTTTGTGTTTGAACGTAAGTAAAGTAGTACCTGACAGGTTCAAGAAAAGATGAAAAAGGAGCAGGAAGAGGACTCCTGTTAGCACTTTTACTGTTTTCTGAGAGGGTCATGGTCCGGTTTACGAAGCACCTTGACCCCTAGTTTTGTCATGAATAATCAGCATTTGGTGTGGACAAATATGTTACTGTCTCTTACTGTTCGATCGAATGGCACTAAAATCTGAATAATGACTTGTGTTCCTCTCTCTCTCCCTCTCTTTGCTGTCTGCAGTAGAGCATGCACCATTTTGAACGTGAATTTTCGGTAAAGTAAGCTATGCTGATTTCTCTAACTTTAAAGATGCTCTGTTTCTGTATATGAAACAGGAACCCGTGCAGCTAAGTCTCTAAAAGGATGTAAAGTAGGGAAGCATGTTTGGGATGATTGTCTTACCTGAGCATTTAAAGGAAATAGAGCATCTTTAAAAAAACACCCCAGTGACTTCATTTGCATTCATTTCATTTTCATCATGCCCTTCGGAAAAAATCTTCATTTTCACTCTATTTTAATTTAAAAATACTGCTTTTAAGGGAATATAAAACCTGCAAATCTACTGCATAGCATTTAGGCCTGTTTTAATTTTGGAAACTGTGCCTCTCAAAGTCCTGTTGCTGCTAAAACCTTGGTTTCTAGTTGTTTACTCCAGCAAAGGGGGACAGTGTTAGATGGATGAGTTATGATTGATTTAACAGGAGAACTCTTGGCTTCTGAAGATGGCTGTAGGGAAGGATGGTTCTTCTCTTTAAACATCTTTAATCATTCTCCCAGGAGCTGAGGGCTGCCTGCGTCTAGTGGTCATGCTATCTATTCTCCCCAAGGGTGGCTGATAGGTCTTGTCTCAGCTGGCGGCCAGTTGGACTTCCCACTTCTATGTGCAGATCATAAAGGGACGCAGACCTGCACAGAACAATTACATAGACCTACAAGGACTGCTAAGATTGGCCCCAGGAAAGCGGGCCCTCAGACGTCTTTCCCATGAGGCTGTCGAGGGGGTCCCTGGCAAGCTGCTCCTCCCTGGCTGAAGCCGTGTGTGTTCTCCTGCAGGCCCTCAGCTGCTGTGTACCCATGTGGCCTGGTGGGAGGGACCCCGTAGAGGGTGGAGTCACACAGGTTTTGTTTAAGAGACTGGAGAGATTCATTCCAGCCGGATTGGAACAAGGGTACGATGGTAACACTAGGCGCCCAGCAGAAGTAACACTGGCAGCTCGGCATCCCACTGGCTGGCTTTTATTCAAGCATCACAGATGTTGCCACCTGAGTAGGCTGGATGGGGTTGAACAGGAGGCAAGCTCAAGTCACAGGTTCGCCACACATAAGTTCTTCGGGAGGATCTTCAATGCAGGGCTAATATTGCAAAAAGCTGTGTGCACTCAGTAATTGATCTGACATGAAATCTGTCAGGTCTCATCTGTGACTGGGGAGTAAGGGATACCAGAGACCTCTTGAGACTGAATGGGAGGTGAGGAGTTAATGTACCTCTGAGAAAGGAGGGAGCTCAGGGCTTTAGACAGTTGTCCCCAGGAGGAGTGTCACAGACCAAAGAGCAACCTGAGCTTGGCCCTTGTCCGCCTGTACTATCTGGAAGTGTACCTATGGAATACTGCACCCATGCCAAGCACTAGAAATGTGCCCTGTCCAAATACCTGACATCTATCTTTTAATGTACCCCTAACTCAAAAACACATTCGGGCTCGTTAATCTTTAATATAACACCCATGGCAGTACGTGGAAATTATAAGCACACCTTCAGTGATCAATATTGCTCTGTGATGCAGTCAGTCATTTCCTCTCCACTAGTTTCTTCCCTTTCCATGCTCGGCAGAGCAAGATCACCCAGTCAGCCTTGACCAATGAGTCTCTCAAATAGAGAAGTATTCATTTTAGTGAGATCTCTCACAGCTGATGGTGGAAATGCGTGGCTAATAGTCACTGTAACAGCTCAGCGGCACCTCCCCAGGCATATTCCATATCTGCCGTACCCTAGATGCACCCCATTCCTCCTCCCCTTCTCACATTATCTCTCTGTTAACCTCATGCCCTAGTGGGCCTTAGAGGGAGCTGCAGACCATGGACAAAGCAAATAGAAAAGCCAAAGAAAATCTATGGGATGGGGCCTGTAGAAAGGGATTGTGAGGCCCCAGTTTTCTGTCTTGCTTAATCTAGTTCACGCTCCACCTCCTGAATCTCCACTCCCTTTTCGGAGCATCTGAGCTGGTGACTTAAGTTCTGATCTCCCTTGCTGGCTGTATGGTACAGTACATATAACATCTGCCACTGTCGTCCCAGGCCCTGCAAAAAACCTCCTGGGACAACAGGCCTTTTGGGACAGCCTGGCCCTGTGAGCAGACCTCTTCCTTTGAATGGGCAGCCTCTCCTTCGTGAGCAGTCCTCCTGAAGAAAGGTCCTCAGCCTCCTGTTTCTTGTAAACTACTTGGGAAATGAAGATCCATTTCACGAACCCCACCTCAACACTCCCAAGCTCTGTGGTTGGGAATTGGTGCTTCTTATTTGTAGTGACTGCTAATGAGGCCAAAGTTGGTTCTCCAGAAGGCTAACCAGTTGTGGTTTATGCCAAGACCACATCTAGCATATGAGCCCAGCTCTAACTTCCTAGAATCCTGGGCTGGAGGGTGGCTGGGCTCCAGATGGCTGTTTGCTGACTTTATTAGAACCTCTAGAGGACATTACAGCCCAGAGCCTGCCTGCCTGCCTTGCTAACCTTCAGTCACTCTGCTGCCAGGGGTCTGGACAAGACCCTGGGGCTTCTCCAAGTACAGGTTGGACTCAGAATGTAAAGCTCACATTTGCCTGCCCTCTTCTGGCCATTGTGTAAGAAGGGCCCCTCCAGTGGGCAAGCTCACTCTTCCAGGAGCTCCTGATGCCCAGTCAAGACATTGAGGCCCAGCAGCCTTCGGCGGCAGCCACCCCTCCAGCCCTTTCACTGGTCACTGTAGGGAAGTGCTCTCCAGGAAGGCTTCCATTGCACTCTCTCTCTCCCTCTTTTTCTCACCTCAGCACTCCAGATTAACAGGTCTTTGCTTCTTTGTGACCTTATGACAAAACCAGGAACCTTTTTTTACCTGCATCTTTGAATAGAACGTCATTCATTCATTCATTGTTATTGTCTAAAGCCAATGAAAATGACATTTTTTAAATTTGCTCATTTGTCTGTATTTAATGTTTATTTTGATTGCTCCATTATCATTATTCGAAAAGTCCAAAATTGCAAAGCATGAGTTCGTGTATTTGTATCATTTTTAAATTTTAGCTGCCTTAGGTTTGGGTAGAAGATGTACAGGAAGGTAAGTGGTATTATGTGAATTATGAAACTAACTTTCTTTTGCTTTCTGTCCTACTTGGGTTTTTGTTTGGTTGTTGTCAGGGGAGATATCATGATCACGAAGGTGGTTTTCACAGGGTGAGGCTTATCTGTTGCACTCCAGATGTGCTGACCCCTGTGATTTCCCCAAATGTGGGAAACTTGACTGCATAATTTTTGGGGGGGAGTGGGGAGACGGGACTATGTTCACGCTCTCCCCTGAAAGAAAAAAAAAGTATTTTATTGACGATCCTGTATGAATTCAAGCAGTAGTTTGTATCTCTGTTATCAGCACAGCTCAGTAGCAGTTAGGGGAGAACCAGCAGCAGAAGTGTGGCTGTGTGTGTGTGTGTGTGTGTGTGTGTGTGTGTGTGTCTGTCTGTCTGTCTGTCTGTCTGTCTGTCTGTCTCCGAGAGTCGCAAGGTTCACAGCGGGTGGGACAGCCAGTGCTATAGCGCAGCAAAGTTCTTGGCGCTGGAACCTATTCTGTACAAATCATTTAATCGTGAGAGAACAAGGCATTCATTGATTCAAAACAAGAAGATTCGAGTAGTAGGGCTGGTGTTCCTGGAAGCTGAGGGAAGTTTTGAATGCAGGTCCAGTTTCCCTCTCCACCCCCATAGGGTGAGCTAAATCTCTGTTCCCCCAGTGCTGCAGCAGGTGCATGTTTAGTGTGACCCACCCGTTCCCCGGTGGGGCCACAGTGGGCACAACAGTGCTTGAAGGCGGTGCCTCTCTGAGAATTCTGAGACAGGGACGATGGGCCCTTTGCCACTGCCTGCACTGCCAATAATTATTAGCATCTTCTATTTCTTTAATGACATCTAGTAGGAAATAGTCATTCAAGACAGACGCCCATTAAGAACACATAACCCAGCAGGCACTGGCTCCATGCCAGGACTCCCCAGTGGTTTTGTCACTTTATATTAAATCACATCCTTCCACTAGTGTGCGTGTTAGAACAAAAGAACTGTTCATCTTTTATTAGTAATTGGTATTCAGGTAGCCCAAGACTGTGTATATAGATGTTTCTCTTTCATTATTGCTTTAAGAGCTGGTGGAGCTGCCCAGGATGGGTTAAGCAGCTGGTAAACTTTGTTTTGAGACCATGCATGACTAAGTTTGAAAATGGAATGAAGCCTCCTTGTAAATGCAGAGAGACTACCTCTTGTATGTGGTCTGTGATACATGTTGCACAAATGTACCTTTTCCCAGACTTTGGGGGGAAATGACTATATTTGATGAATTCTGCTTTGAGGCTTCTAGCTTTCTAGCTCAGTATTTTCTTTTTAAGTATGTGATCCTGGGTAGCTTGGTCCTCTGGAGGGAAGCACTAGCCTCTTCTCCTTGCCATCACTCACCAGGCCTTAGTAGCAGCGTGTACACCTGGTGTCTGAGGGGCCAGCACTGACTGCCCTTCTCTCTTCTGCAGGGGTTTCAGCATTGCCACCTCCACCTCCGCCTCCGCCACCAGCAGCTCCTTTGCCTCCAGCAAGCACAGAGGCATCTGCTCCACTCTCGCCCCGGGCTGTGAACGGTGTGAGCCGAGGGGCCTTGCTCAGCTCCATCCAGAATTTCCAAAAAGGAACTTTGAGGAAAGCCGAAACCTGTGATCACAGTGCTCCTAAAATCGGCTGAGGATTCCTGTTTACACATGGAGGGAAAAGGTGTTTTGTTTTCTCCCAATTCCCTTAAAATACCCCCTGCCTGGAAAAATCATTGCTGAGCCGGAGCGGCCACATTGTACACTGCAGGTACTCACATAAGAGGTTTTTCAAGAGGGAAATCTGGTAGAAGATAGCTGGGCTGGCATTGCTGCCTGCTGTAAGCGATTATTTGCTCCTTCATTACCATTTTAAAGGACGCTTGCCCTCAACGGGGATCTTTTTGAGGGCAGCAGCATATTGGAATCAGTATTTCCATCAACTGAAAGACCAAAAAGTCCCCTTCAACAATGACAATATTCAGTCACAGCAGTGATGGCATTTGTGTTGCAATCCTTCTTACCCCATCAGACAGCTTCTAGAAACATTCCTCTAATAGTTGATTTCTCTCTTCTAAAACATCTTAGGTTCTTAGGTAATCCCATTCTTGTTGCTTTTATTTCATCTTCAACATTAACACTGTAGCCCTAACACAGGCCTGTCACCAAGGTCGGGAGATGCTGGAGTCCTTCCTCCTCCTCCTGATAGGACAGGGTAGCATTCGGCCAGGAATACCACCATGGGCCCAGGGCTCAGGGCTGCTGTATCAAGTACTCTAGACTCCTAGTTAGAATGAACTGTTAACATCAGAAAAAGCTCTTGCCAACTAGATCTTAACTCTCAGCAATCAAGTTTAGGGGTCGGTGGGTGGGATCATTATTTACAACACAAGTAAATCTGGCATCTGTAGAAATCAATAATTCTGATTTTTTAATTTACCCAAATACATCTTTTTAATGTTACTCATTTATTGGAAAGATTCTTTATCCTGTGATTTTTCTTAAAACCTTTAAATAAATTGCACTTTAAAGGATTATAAATAATCCATTTTAGAATTAAAGTACACACATCAGTGTTGGTTACTATGCAGAAAGAATGTCCTTGTGTACAGTTTCATGTAATCTGTGATACATGTTCAGCTGTATTTTTTATTAAAATAAACCATGTCAAGAAAATCTATTGTCTGTAGTTCAGCTAGGTATTTCAAGTAAGAATTCTTCTGTAATTTTTTTTATGTTTGTAAAATCCACATGTTTCTAGTTTCTCTCTCAACTATCCTATTTTTGTGTGTCTGTTCTTTTCCCTCTTAATAAGTAAAATCTAACAATCTTGCTTTACTATTTAAAATAGGTGCCTCAAAAAAAAAATAGGTGCCTCATTATGATTCTTTAGCTAATTTAAACCATCTTTTCCATCTCAGCTTCTAAAGAGGACAGTGTATGTGACAATGTATAGTTTTGGCAACAGGGAAAATACTCTGTATGAACTGAACTGTAATTTTAAAGTTAACCTTGTGCGTTTGAAGAATCTGTGGACATTCCAAATGCAATGTGTGTTTAAGAGATTAGTTCCTGATGGAGGCTGGGAGGCCCGAGTCCTTCTGAAGTTAGTTTTGCTCTTTTGGGTAAAGTTTCAGATACTGAGTACAAAAACAATCATTTTGAGCTCTGGTGGCCTACTGGTAAGAAACTGCGCTGCTATCCTGAAGGCACACATTTCAAATCCACTAGATGCTCTGTTGGAGAAGAAGGGCCAATCTCCTTCTGTGCCAGCCGGATCCAATTGGATGGCACATAATAAGGGGGGGTGGGGGGGGAAGCGCAACCATTTTGTTCAAGTATCCACTCGTTTTCCATTTGGTACTAGTTTTTTAATTGAATTTTACGATTTCCACCTCATATAATTTCAAGAATACAGACAATTAAAAAAAAAAAAAATACAGACAATTCAATTAGCCAGAGTCAGGAATTCCTTTATTCCGTATCAAAACACTCTTAACAGTAAGTGTAGATTATATACTTTTATCTTATACATATAAGTTATTTCCAGGCCACATTCCTATCTCGTCCTTCTACTGAGACAGTGACATTTACATTGGTCTTATTCATAGAATATGGCGACTGTAACAGACAGAAAAATACAAGGCGCAGAGAGTGGAGTTTTTCCACATACATTTAAACAACTTCCCAATACAAAGACATCTCCATTGTTGTTTTCAAAATTACTTTATGAATAAGCTCTTAATAAGTACAGTCTTCTGAATAAGTACAATCCGGGTGAAGTATTGGCAAGTACTTTAAATAAGAAATTCCAATGACTTAAAATTTAAGCCCAAACTAGATGTTTAATGTCTTCTTTATTGCAAATATGATGTCTTTGACCTGAGGTACGGAGTTGTCTTCTAGAATCTTTGCGTAAGGCATAGGGACATCAGCACCAGTGACACGGACTGCAGGCGCATCCAGGTAATTGAATGCAGGTCCTAGGAAAGAAAAGGTTCATCAACTGAGGGAGAAACAAGAAAGAGGTTCAGCTAGCTTCACCACCCTGGCACAGAGAGAAAACAAGGTAAAGACTCCATGCAGAATCATTCCTTGTTTAACTTTTTCACATTTACTCAAAGGAGAAATGCCAATGTGACAAACATTCCGAGTCCCTTGGCCATCGCTAGCTTTTAATCTTTTTATTTGGTATCCATGTGCAGTGTTTATCTGAACTCACTCTAACCAAGAATCACTTTCTTTGAAATACCTTCCATGATCCTGGCACAAATTTCAGCTCCTACTCCAAACTGTGGCCAGCCTCCTTCCACAGTTACAAGATGGTTTGTCTTGATGACACTGGCTTCAATGGTTTCAATGTCCATGGGTCTGATGGTACGCAAATTTATGACCTAAACAGATAAATAACAGATAAATAAGCCATATAGAGCCACTGTGTCACACAAGTAGAGCCTTGTCACTATCCTGTCTTCTCCCTTTCCTCTTGCCCATCTAGGAAAATATTTTGTTTATATTTGTACAAATGTAAAAATTATAATGAAAACTAGGGATTTTTTTTAACAGTGGAAAGCAGTTCTGTTTAACTTGCAGGATCCACTTAGCTTTCCATGAGCTTTAACTTCACATTCATCAAAATATATATACCTAATGGTTGAGTATATGTACCAGGCACTCAACTGTCAGTGCCCACAGCCCGAGTCAGAACCAGCTCTCCTGGGGAGTCACTAGTGGATTTGAACTACCAGAGGTGTGGCAACTACCTGTGGACTACAACACCAGAGATCCCGACTTGCTATAGGCTAAGTAATTCTCACAGCAATTATGATGAACAGTATTTCTATTCTATTAATAGTTGACAAAATTGAGACTTAAGTGGAACTAGTGAAGTGGTGGTTGTTTTGTACTATAGAGTCGGAACTGACCTATAGCTGACCCTCCAGTGAGTTTTCAAAGGCAGTTCATCACATGGGAGGAGACCTTCCATCCTTCTCCCGTAGAGCAGCTGGTGGCCTCAAACCACACATGCCTTCACGTTTGCAACACAGCTTCTTGCCACGAGGCCAACAGAGCTCTCTAGTTAAATAGTAGATACTACTGAATCTAAGCTTGATTTTCATAAATTAGGTACCATTCTAAAAGGGACTTCTGATAGCTTAGTGGCAAGAAAGCTGTGCTGTAATCCTGAAAGCACAGTTTAAGGCCACCAGCTGCTCTGCAGGAGAAGGATGAGCAATCTCCTCTCATGCAGTTAACTGCCTCTAAAACCCACTCGAGGGTCAGCAATGGGTCGGTTCTGACACTATGGTACACAACAACAACAACTATTCTGAAAGGTCTAAAATACAGATGGTTAAAACGATTAAATATTAGAAAAGCAAGCAGGCTCCCTACTTAAAGCAGTGGCAAAACTCAGTGACAAGCCAAGACTGGTTCTATCTAGTTAACCTGTTAACAAAACTTCAGACTCCTAATTCTGAGTCTTAAAATTTAAAGGAAGCTTGATTCTTTAGAAACAGGTGAATGTTCACCCACCTCACATTCAATCCCCTCTGTAGACAGCACTGTTGCAGCTTCTAAGCAATGGCCAACAGGTCTTGAATGGGAAACCACGGTTACATGAGTTCCTGAAACAGAGAGGTCAGAGGCCAGACTGAAACAAATAACTGTACCACATTCACACTACCACCAGCTGTGGTTCTTGCCCTTTTATAAAGCCTCTGATTCAACTTCATTCCAGTGACATGAGGTCTAAGGCAGCCTTTCTGGAAACAAAATGCAAACCCACTGTTCTGAAATTGGAAAAGGACTCTGTGGGAAATTAGGACAGCACACCTATCTTACTTGGGCTTATCTGTAATTGGTTAAAATTCAAAGTGAAGGGCAATCATTTTCTATGTTGAATTTGACAAATATAAGTGAGGGGCTAGATTAAAAACAATGCATACTAATTCTCTTACCTGGCCTTTCTACTTTGGCTTTTCCAATAGGTATCAGAAAATCTTTTGACTGAGCTGCCTCAGGGAATTCAAATGGAACACCATACATCAATTCATTCTCTAACATTACAACTGCAAAATAAATATTAAAACAAAAGTTAATACCCAGATTACAACCAGAATGACTTGGAAAGGTATATACAATTTTAATTTTAGCAGTCATTGTATGAAAAGTTCCATTTTGCTGATTAACAACAAAACAGTTGCTGTTAAACTGAAGAACCACATATAAGACTCACATGCAAATTCTTTACAGTATCTGTAAATCATTAACATTGTGAGATGTCTACATCCCAATAACCCAAACAAAAAAAGCCCCCAAACCAACCAAACCCACTAATTTTTTTTTCAGTGAGTTGATTCTCACTGATGTGTTACACGAAGCCCTAAGTGACCCAGAGGTAACCCTCCAGCCCGTTTTCAGAGGCAGTAAATTGCATGGGAGCAAACTGTCCTCCACTCTCCCAAGGAGCAGCTGGTAGATTAGAACCACATGCCTTTGGGATGACAGTGCAGCTCCTTATCGTAAGATCATCTAAGCTCCATTCCAGTGGTCCTAAAGGGCAGAGCAGAAATGCCTACAAATTCCAAGGCTGTAATCTTTACTGATGGTGGTGAAGTGAGTCGTGCTAACCCAAAGTTCTCCAACAGTTCAAATCCACCAGTGGCTCCACAGGAGGAAGAGGGGCTATCTCCTCCCCTTAAGATTTACAGTCTCAAGACAGACACCCTATGGAGGGTCCCTAAGTTAGAATTGACTCAAGAGCAGTGAGTATGGGGGTTTTTCCTGATGAATTTTCACTGAGACACTGCCATATTCTTCTCCTGGGGAGTTTGAATCCCAGACTTTTTTGTAGATTATGACTGCTTGAACTACTGTATCACCAGGGCCCTTTAAGTCCCACAGAAACTGATTTTTTTCTCTTTTATACTTGTTTACTTACAAAGTTCATACACATTGTGTTTCACTCTATCCTTCATTCACATTGTGTTTCATACAATCATTCTCATTGTTGCTGTTGTTGTTGTTGTT